CGCACCCAGCGTATTCACCAGACTTAGCTCCTTCGGACTATTACTTGTTCCGGTCGATGCAGCACGGCTTGGTGGATACACACTTCAGAAATTACGAGGATGTGCGAAAATGGATCGACGAATGGATTGCATCAAAAGACCAATCGTTCTATCGTCGCGGAATCTACGCGTTGCCCGAAAGATGGGAAAAATGTATAGCTAGCGAGGGAAAATACTTCGATTAATGTATTTTTTGCTTTTGATGTCGAAATAAATGAGTTTTTAAACAAAAAAACCGCAGGAACTAAGTTTACCACCTAATATATAGTAAAATATATAACAGAGTTAGAGAAGAAACGACCGATGAAAGAAGGTAAGGAAAGAGAACATTTGGAAACAATAGGAATGACACAGGAGCAATTGAGGAGTGAAAAACCCGTATCAAAATATCGGTTGCCCGCTTCTATTTTTATTAATTAAGATAAGGTCGTTACATTGTGATTGGGTGAAACAAAACTAGGCTACCGGTTGTCTGATACGAATCAAAGAGAGGCTGGTGATGAGGAGATAGTTGGGAATTTTAATAGAAAGTAGAGAGAAAAGAGAAGAAAGAAAGATGACTGCAAATAGACATGTTTAGATATAATAAAAATTATAAAAATGATAAAGGGAAGAATTAGCAAAATATATCCGGAAGGAAAGAAGAAAATATGTGCAGAATACAAGCTTAATATAAGTGTGGAAATGAAATAAAAGAGAACTAGTACTGAAGAGAGGAAAAGATATAGCAGATACAAAATATATATATACCAAGCAGCAGAGGAGAGCATGTTTCATATATTAAGGAAATGCAAAGTAATAAATAATGAATTGAGATTAGAAAAATTTGTAAGGAAAAAAGGAAAATGTTTAGAATAAAGGTTCCTAAGTAGTCATTATGACTATCTTTGTTTAATAACGTCAGAAGCGAGAAAACGCATGCCAAGATTTCTTGTGTTATACTTTTAATGAAAAATATATATCCACAAAATGTCATTTATAATCGATTCAGTACACTTGTAAAAGTACGAAATTGTACGAACACTTTTCTTTGACTTGAACAATTAATAAATAATCGTAAAATTAACTTTAACAGAACCACAAAAAAAGAAGTTAAATAGGAAAGTTCTATGTCAAGTTAATATTGCGAATATTTATTGATTGTTCGAGTGAAAGGAAAGTGTTCGTACAATTTTAAAAGTTTTAAGTGTATTGAATCGAGCACAAATTACATTTTATGGATATATCTTTTAAATTAAAAGCATAACGCAAAAAATTTTGGTACCGTAAGATAGGGTTACTTTGTGACACAGTGAATTTTGGTCAATAGTGATAATTATCACTATTGACCAATATTCACTGTGTCACAAAGTAACCCCTACAGTCACAAAGTAACCCCATCTTATGGATTTTCTCGTTTCTTACATCCTTAAACAAGAATAGTAATAGCGACTACTTAGAAATCTTAATGATAATGATAATGATAGAAAAAAGAGGGACAAAAGAGAATCGGGTAGGAAAGAAAGAATACAAAGATGAACGGAATGAGAATATTCAAATAAAACGTGATTTCAATTTTAACATATCATACTATTAAATTGTAAAGATATTTAGATATTAAATTGTAAAGATAATAGCGTATTGGACCACCCATATCGTTCTTTTATTCGGAAATGGTGATTGGAAGTTGAGAGAGAAAAAATATCTATATATATGTATGTATATATATAATAAAACTTCATTATTAAAACATCTCTTATCCTTTCTTAATCTATTATTTGTATTAATATTTTTCTACTTTTATTTCTATTTATGCTTTTTTTGCTGTTACCTTTCTATGTGTTTTTGGCACTTCTTTTTTGTGTTTGGAAATTTAAGTATATCTGAAATAACATCATCATTCAACATTTCTTGGCTGCTACTTGATGTATCCATGATTTTAGCAGCTCCAATTTTCCTTGATTTTTTAAGATATTCCTCTTTTTCTGTACCGGAATTTAAATCTGACAGTTCTTCAGCTTCTTTTAGCTTTCTCCTTGCTACTTCATAATTGGCTGCAACCCAGTAATGTAATCATAACAAAGTATGTTGTTACATTTTTCTGTATAATTAAAAAAATGTAAAAGTATAAAAATATATTGGGTTGGCAGATAAGTTCGTTCGGTTTTTTTGACTGGTATAAAATACGATTTATTTAATATACAAAATATATACTAATCAATAATGTATTGACCATTCTTTTCTATGACTTCTTGCCATCTTTTTACCAATTTCATAATCCCACATTCATAAAACGTCTGAGGTTTACCGGCAAAAAACTGATCCAGTTGCGTTTTAACAGCTTCATTATTAGCAAAGTTTTTCCCGTTCAGAGAATTTTGCAGCGACCAGAACAAATGATAATCAGAGGGTGCCAGGTCCGGTGAATAAGGAGGGTGAGGTAAAACATCCCAGCCAAGCCTTAACAATTTGTTCCGAGTAGTTAATGAAGTATGGGGTCTGGCATTGTCGTGGTGGAAGACGATTCCTTTTCGATTTGCCAATTCTGGACGTTTTGAACAGATTGCTTGATTCAATTTCGTTAATTGGGAGCAATATACAGTTGAATCGATCGTCCTGCCTGATGGTAAGAGCTCATAATAAATGATACCTTTATAATCCCACCACACTGAGAGCATAATTTTCTTCGGGTGCAATCCTGCCTTCGAGGTTGTTTGTGGTGGTTCACTGCTGCTTCCCCATGATCTTTTACGTACTACGTTATCGTAGACGATCCACTTTTCATCTCCCGTAACCAACCGCTTCAAAAATGGATCGTTTTCTTGGCGTTTCAGCAGCGCGTCGCAGATGGAAATGCGAGCGGTTAAGTTGGCCTCGGTCAATTCGTGCGGCACCCAAACATTGAGGCGAGAAACGTATCCCAACTGACGCAAATGGTTTTCTACACTTGTGTGGGATATATTAAGTGTCGTAGCAATCTCTCGTATTGTTTGCGATGGATTTTTGTCGACGGTATTCTTTATTACAGCTGAATCAACCTCTGCTGGACGACCAGAACGGGACGTGCCACTAACATCAAAATCTCCAGAACGGAATTTGGCAAACCATTTTTGACACACACGTTCTGTTAAAGCATCGTCCCCATACACATTACAAATCTTTTTATGAGCTTCCGCAGCTCGTTTGC